ATTGTAATGAAACTTTCAGGCATTATTAAGCATTATTCAAGGATGGTTTGTGTGAAGTTTGGTGCAGATCCGTCAATAGGGCTCCGCCCCAGTGGCTCTGGAGTTTCCCATGTTAACCTTATGATTACTCATATTTAAATGGAATTAAAGAATCTTAACAGCTGGTGCAACTAAACAATTTGATTCTGTGATGTTCAATAGCATTAAAAAGTTAATGAGTGAAAATTTAAAAACGTACGTTTTCAGGAAAAGCACTTTGTAAATTTTTTCCCCTTTTTTCAAAACTCTTATTATTTTTTTTATTTCATTAACATTTTAAGTTTCATAAAATGTCCATGGTAACGCAATATCTTTGGTAGTTTTTTTTTAAAAGAGCATTTTTAGTGGAAAAACACAAAATCCTGTCACGACCATAACAGACGTTTAAATGAATATTAAAAATAGTTAATACTATTTTTATAACTATGTTTTGCTACAAACTAATTTACTTTTATGACCATTATACAATAAAAAGGTTACTGAGCTTTTGGTATATTTGGTCTTTCTAGAAAAAAATAAAAAAACTCAAAAAATTGAAAAAAAGCCAATAAAATCTTTTTAAGTTTGTATAACTACGAAAAAACTTACCTGAGACCCGAAAAATCGTTATGTTTGTATAGAGGTTTGCTTCTTTTGTGTATAAAACATTGAAATATGACGATATTTTAATTTTTGAAATTTTTATGATAGAAATCATAAACGTGATGGTCAGGGACAAGCGGTACGGTCGTGAATTTTCTGAAATAATCTAAATCTTTCCAAACAATCCTTCAATTATACTGTTAGTTATAATAAAAATATGTGTTTCAATTGAACTAAACTGTTCAATTTACAATTATATTAAAGTTATTGTCACGACCAAACACACTATAACCCTTAAGGCTGGATTGGTCGTGAAAAAAACCGCGATGGTCGTGAATCTTTGGTCGTGAAATTACGTGTTATTTGGCTCTGTTCTGATGGTAGCCCTGCACCTCATGTTCGAGGATACAAAGTGGACTTCTAGGTTAATCTAGCAATTGAAATATCTTATAAACAAAAATTAACACCATGTCTACTTCATCGAATGACTACGTACGGTCATGGACACACCAAAATTACAAAAAACACAATCTTTCCTTTATTAATCTTGTAATTCCTCCTTTCAACTCGAAACGACCGGCACTACAATCCTGACGTACACCCTGAACTAGTCTCTAAAACCAACTGACTCCATCGATGCCAGGCTTGCCACTGTCGTGCTCCAAAGTTGAAAATTTTTCCCAAATGGTCGTGACGCCAAATCGAGGGACAGACTTATTTTGTCATGGTAGTCAGTTTGCAATGACAATAAAATTATAATATGCTCCTTTTTTGTAAGTTTAATAACCATTGATGACATAAAAATATGGCTTTATATATTTCGGCATGAATAATTAGTCTAAAAACAGTGTGAAAGTTGGAAAATGTACCCTAGGGACACGTCATGGTCGTGAATTTCGAGACTTTGAAAATACGAAAAAAATACCTAGAACCTATTTAAAACCAAATAAATGTGTGTAACATGTTGCCCCCGTCCCAAAAAATATTAAAACACATAATAATAAACTACAAATCCAGTATCTACGAAGTAAAAGGCCAGGGACATGAAAACGTACGTTTTTAAATTTTCACTCTAATAGGTTTACCAACAGGGTGCAGCACTATATTTATTTTTAATTTATGAGAACATTTAATTTGCAACCAAAAGGTGAGTGAGCGTAGCGAACGAACATCAACCTGGAGGCGAGTTAGCGTAGCGAACGAGCTAACCTGAAGGCAAGTGAGCACAGCGAACGAGCTCCAACCTAAAGGTGAGTGAGCGTAGCGAACGAACTTCAACCAGGACGTGATTGAGCCATGCGAACGAGCTCATCTTGAAAATGAACGAGCATGTGACATAAAACCACAATAGGACAGGACGACGTCTGTCGGGCCAGCTAGTGTTATATAAATGATGCTGGTGGTGCACTCTCATGTTTGCCTCAGAACAATCTTTGTTTTTATGCAGACGATACAAATCTCAAAGTATCGGCTGAGTCAGTGCAACAAGTTTAAATTTTAAGTTTTGTTGAATTGGCAAACATTGGAAACTTTCTAGAGCAAAACAAATTGAAGCTTAATCCCAAAAAAAAACTAATTTTTTAACTTTTAAAACAAATCAAAACAAAAAGTTAAACCAAATATCATGTATAATGCAGAAGAAATTGAACATACACACAGTACACAGTTTCTAGGTCTAATTGTGGACCAAAATTTAAACTGGGATGAACATGATGATAAACTCCTTTCAAAATTATGTTCAGGACTATATTCACTCTCTAGAATGTCTTATTTTTGTAACCATAAAACATTAAAAAACATATATATTTATTCTATGGTTTGTGCCTTTATGGTTCAACTACAATAGCAAATTTGGATAGGATACTTAAACTTCAAAAAATAGCAATAAGAATAATTTTGAAATTAGAACACAACGAAACAACCAAAAACAAATTCAAAGAACTGAAAATTTTAACGGTATATGGCCAATTTATTTACGACACAATTATTCTAGCAAAAAACCGCTTGAGCACCTCTGAGACAAAATTATCACCCATACAACACTCGGCATAAAAAATTCCTTATTTCAAGTAAACACAAATTAAAATTCTATGAAAAAAACCATCCTATATAGGATTTAAATTTTTTAAGCATATCTTCCTAATGAAATCAGAAATGAACAAAGCAGGAAGAATTTCATGAGAAAACTAAAACTTTATTTAGTAGAGAAAGCGTTCTATTCACTGGAAGAGTATTTTTCCACCTCCCCTCTTAGCGTTAGTAATTAATTCAGTTTTGATTATTTTCATTTCCTGGTTCTTGGTTTTTAATGTAGGTACATAATGATGCAAGATATGCAGATTTGTTAATTATTAATTTAAGATAGATTTAGTTGACGCCATTCAATGTACAAAACTGTACTTTATGAATAAAGCATATTTGATTTGATTTTAATAAATATTTCATAGTTAATTTGTCGATAGTGTAATGCAGGTTAATCTTATGTATAATTCATTACAAGGACCAACCACCAAACCACGCGTTAATTGTGGTAAAGGAAGCAAAATACAGGATTAATTTTAGTTAAGAGATAACCTTCTGGTTACTTTTACCAAAAACATTAGGCTATTTTAATAAATTTATCATACCAATTTTGTACACACCCTTTTTAGTACTTAGAGAAAACACAATAATCCCTCATGATACTGGTTGATGATCCTCCTTATTTTTGCCAGATTAAAACGTTTCTTGAAGTTGAGGGTTGAGTAAAAACTTATATTTCATCGCAGTTTCTTATTATGATTATTTTCTTTCCACGGTGGCAAATTTGATCCCTTTGTCTAAAAGCCATGGAACCCTTTTAAACTGTACGGTACCAAAGTTCTAGAGGATATCAAAATACAACCACCATTGCATATGTAATTTCAAGCTTTAATTTGATACCAAAATCAGTGTTATACAACAACAGTTTTTTCTGTAGCTCTCAATAACCCAACATTTATCTATTTCTTTGTGTATGTAGGTATTAAAAGAACATACTTCAGATTCAGTTAAGCCTAAAATTATTCAAAGATCCCGTGGGTGATAACATAGGTGCCAAAAAGATATTTTTTTGCTTTTAAGATTAATAATTAACTGATAAAGAAGCGGATGAAGCAACAGTCTGATCTAGAGTTAAGTTCACAAGAACAGTGGGAATGAAGCTGGTAATGCCTCTCACATTGAACAAATCCAAAACTGGGTTCATAGGCAAGACTAGCAACTTGCCGTAGAACGAAGAGGAGTATTGGTGTTAGCTTCGAACTTACCATTCCCGGAGCTCACATTGAGCATACACCATACCGGAGCTCACAATGAGCATACACACTTCCGGAGCTCACATTGTGCATACACACTGCTGGAGCTCACATTGTGCTAATACACTTCCGGAGCTCACATTGTGCATACACACTGCTGGAGCTCACATTGAGCTAATACACTTCCGGAGCTCACATTGAGCATACACACTGCCGGAGCTCACATTGACCATACACACTTCCGGAGCTCAGATCGACTTACATACCGGAGCTCACATTGCATTACAAAATCCAAGTTGTAAATTTTTATCAAACCGTGAGTTTTAAGTGTCCACAGTTAAGTACAAAACATCTTTTTAAAAAGTGACATATATTTTCTTTAAATAACCTCTCCTTCTACCGGACCTCACATTACTGTGTAATACCATGGAGCTCACATTGGTTGCCAAACGCGTATGTGTGTGTCTTGTGTGTGTGTCTGTTAGCGCGATAACTTGAGCAAAAATTATACGATTTTGATGAAATCTGGTACAAACGTGTAAACCTGCGTTTATTCAAACGCATTTGCGAACCAGCATAATTGGACTATGGGAACGGGTTTATGGGGGTTTTATGGGGAAAATGAATGTTTCCCATTTCTGAAACACAACATTTCATTATTTATTTCCAAACCATTTTGTAGCACTTTTAGTTATACCAAAAAATATATAATTTGTATATCAAAGCGTTGATAAATGCCCAACGGTTACAAAGATTATTCCAAAAATTGTAAATTTAAAATTCTCATGTTATTTTTATGAAGGATAAATAAACAGTTGTAGTTTGCTTGTTTATGGATATATTTCAATCAAATTTTGCAAATTTATTTATTTTATACTAAGCTATCAAGATTCCAATAACAAACCACCTCAATACCTTCCCTGTAGCAGCAATCCTAAGTCCTCATTAAAATTAATGAAGATAGCTGTAGCAAACATCTTTGTCGTGACTAGTCGTAACAGTTAAATTGTAAATTATGTTTTCACAATCAGTTTTCTAATTCTATTTCACTATTTTGATAACACGTAGTAGTTATCATATAAGATTATTGAGTTAACTGTTAACTGTAACACGTAGCCTACATACATAGGCCTATAGGCTCATAAATTCTTCAACTACATGAATGTTTCTCGCCAAGCCAGGAGATGACAGTACTGATGCCCTCGCCTGTAGTTGCACTCACCTTGGGTCAAGAAAAGTTTGTTAAGTCTTATATTGATGTATTTATAAAGTAAAATTTGTGGTATTTCCCAAACAATACAAGATTTTTACCTTTACTGGAGAAGAAGCTCATTATTGTAATCAGAAATTAATAAAAACCTATTTTTTATATTTGCAGTATAGTACTTATATAAATATCAATTTTATTGGAGAGAGGTTTGGAAACTAATAGTCTTCTATTTCCATAGGTTTATTGATAACATTTCTGCTGTTCATCCTTGTTGTCAATGCGATGGTGGAGAAAGAGTTTTTGTAGGGCAGGGCAGGAGTTCTCTTAGTCAGAGAGAATTCTCTACTGGTAAACTCAGCCTTTCAGATGATATCGATAGCTAAACTTATAGCTAAAGGTACCTCTCTAAATTTTCACCAAAATCATCAAACTTAAATTATATTGTTTGCTGGTTGCTCAATCCTAATTGATGGAAACTGGTAAAAGTTGAAAGAGTACTTCATCATTCTTCCCAATTTTCTAGTTTGTTCTCAACATGACTAGTACAATATTTACAAATCTATTTAGTTTGCAATACCCTTAGTATCTGAAATCAATACTTTTCAAATTCCCTGCTATTTTTTCGAATGTTTGAAGAGCTTTACAAAATAAAAACTTACTAGCTTATACTTAAAAATCTGTTTAACTCCTTTGATATTTATGCCTGGATCTCAGGTAAAATAAAATTATATCCAGTGTCACCAGACTACTTACAGGAACTACTGATGTTAACCCTTTAGGGGTGTGTTGTATTTACTGTAAAATGTTCGACACCACTAAGTGTCTGTCTTATTCATTAATTTCTCTAAACTTGTAGTACTAACCTCAGCAATAGTAATATTCTGAGGTACCTCCTGCTTCAATCTGTTGTATTGGAGCATGAGCAAAGCTTCATTACGCATCTGCCTGTAAGATGCGTCCATTTTCGCCAGGACCATCATAATCTGTAACAACTATTACCATCAATGTACTGTGGCTGATTAATGAGGGGCCAGAAGTGTAACAGCAGCAATCTGAAATCTTTAAAATTATTTGTACTTGTGTATTTGTGTAATTATCTTTGTAACAACTAGATTTGTACTGGGGCGAAAAATGCGGGCAACGATGAAAAGCACCGCTTAAGTCAGACAACGATGAATCTGGACACAGTGCACTCAAACGATGAACTTGGACACATTGGGTGTCCCAGTGCACATAAACGACGAACCTGGACACATTTTTAAGTAGTCCGGTATGTTGCACGACACGACGAAACTGGACACATTCAAAAGTTTCACAGATTAACGCTGCATGCAAACGACGAACACGGACACTCTAATTTTTTAACAGACTGTACACCAGGCTAAATCAAATACTCAGTCTCGCTCGGTTGTCTTTGTAAACCCTGAATGAGCTTCCTAATACAGAAATTCCGTGAATACACGTTATTGTTATAAGGCTTCTTTCAAATCGACTAATATACTGTGTTGTAGTGACTCATAGCTTAGCAAAAACATTGCACATTATAAATTCGGGAATTTAATTGCATGTTTATTTGGTCAGTGTAAAGTTTTGCTAGATATTAGTAAAAAATTACAGGCCTACGGGGCCTGTATACACCGTGTCCCAAAAAGAATGGATCAAATCTACAGCTTAATGTACGTCTTGCTAGGGGTTGTAGAAAAGTCAATTAGGCTCATTTTAAAGCTGTCATTTTAAAACTGTCATCTTAAGGTATTTTTAGTGCCCTTCAATATAGTAATTAGCTGTTCCATAGTGGTTGTTGGCACGTTTGAATTTTACAAACATGAAATTGCAATGGAGATGCAGTTGGAAGCACAATGTATTGAATGGTTTATAAAGACAAAATCTGTGGTGTGTGTGTTTTTTTTTGGGGGGGGGGGGTTTGTTAAGCAAAGAGATGCCTTTGAAAAAATATCTAATAAAAAACACCACAATGTGTGATTAGTGCTGAAATACTGCCTTAATTTTAATCGAGCAAATAACAACATGTAGAGGTTAGGCGGTCATACCATGGTAGGAAAAGCCTAGGAATTTAAGGAAAAAATTGTTTATCAAGTTAACTTTTGATTTTTAATAATAATTTTTTATGCCAGTTTAATTTGATCCATTCTTTTAGGACACCCGGTACAAAGAGGGCTAGCTCATTACGTTCGGCCCATTGTAATATAGCATTAAAAATATACTCCAGTATGACGTTTTCGTGGCGAAACAGCTGCAATAGAGCAGTTAAGTTGCTATGGATTATTATATTATTTTTAAATGTAACCTCGACTAAACCTCTTTCACAATGTGCTGTATGTTGTCTATCGTACCTACATAGGTTAAAATATTAATCCCAATTCATTTGAACCTTAATAACGCATCAAGCAGTTTCCTGATTAATTATTAATTACCTGATTTTCATATTGACAAAAATTGTTTTTTGCAAGATAATCACGTTTCGGTCTTTACGTTAGTTTAAATTGATCAACATCTGTTCGGCAAAATAAAATTATTGATATATTTAATATACAGGTGTAAGTCTTGTTTTCTCAGTCACTACTGGACTGATATACAAGATTTATGCCTCAAATTAAAAGAGATAATGCGTAGATGTGGCAAACTTCCTTAGAATTTACGTTTTTTCTAAGGGATACGACCTACAGCCTTTTAAAGGTCGAGTCAATACAATTCTTACAATTCTTATTGAATAATATAATACACAAAATCATTCGTCAGCTGTTTAATGTTTCTCAGAAATTTGTTTTTATTATTATAACCTCACTTTCAGTATTTAATTATTAATCTCGGAGTTCTTGTTTATAAACACACGATTTCGAACAAGGGAATAGTTATTTGTGTAACTTAATGGGCGAAGTAGCACTTTGCTGTACACGAGAGAAATGTTTACGCACGAGCCGTAGACGAGTGTGGAAAGTTTTTTGAGTGCAGCAAAAACAGTTTGCACTCACACACATTATATTTTTCAAAACTTTTATTATATAAGTATATACAGTAGATAGATCTAGATTTCAGACCAGCTAGTTAGCGCAATACCAAAATAAACTTAAATCAAACAGAGACCTATACTGTACCACTAAAGCATTGGCCACACTTCAATCCTCCAGGGAGCATTCATCCGCATTTTGGCAGAAGCGATCCGGGTGGACCGGAGCGGATCTGACAAGTGTAGCCACCTACCAGTACTTTCAAAATTTGGATGAGGATCGGGGGTTCCGGGAGTGCTCGGCTATTTCACATCACGTGGCTTCCTCGAGGATGAGTGGAATCATAGAACGAGTGTGTCTTTCCGAGTATCGTACAAAAGTAGCCACCACTTCTGATCGGAACGAAACAAAACAAATCGGACAAGTGTAGCCCTAGTTTAATTTTCACAGCAACTATACACCTCTAATTTATGAGGAATTGACATTTTGGATATCTATGTAGTCTACATCTGATTTACAAGGAAAATGTGTACAGTAAGTGTCAAAACTAACCTTCAGTAAATAAACTCTAAGCTTATCTATAATTGAATTGACCTTAACTTTCTGCAGCTGAGGTTCAGCCAGTATTGTGTAGAGCAAAACCCCGGCGGCTGCTATCTGACAAAGATTACTGGCATCTACCACAAACATCACCTTAGTGATATCTTGGTAGTAGTGACACCACATAGGTGCCATGGGACCACCCAGCTCTCGTATGGTTATCTAAAAAAATCACATACACAAGTAGTATAACACAATCCTCCAATGCCCAGCTCCCCCACTATAAAAGTTAGACAGTGTCCATAAACATCTCCATTTAACATTTAATAGTGTCCTGGTTGTAGTGATGTCACTTGGAACCATTAAACAATAAGAGTAGCCTGATTTGACATCAATATTTACTGGTTTATTTGATTTTACATACCAACGGACATCTCAAATTTTATAAGCTAGTCATAAATACATTTCTCTCAAACGACTGTAGGCCAACATAAAATTCAAAAAGATTTCATACAATAAATATGGCTACCCAGCAATAAATGAATACTAGTAAACCCAATGCTCGAAATCAAGCAATTGAATTAGGGTTAAGAATGAAAAGTAACAACTTAATTTGTTTTATAATTTTATTTTGTAACTGTAAAGAAAGCAGTCTGCATCATTTTATTAACTCTCTGTATACTATACTTTTGGTGAATACCCTGTCATCAGTTTTAATTTGATTTTTGGTATTTTATATAACCAACCTAAGAAACAATTTCACTTCAATCATAAAATCAAATGAAACATATTATTCATTCTGATAGCCCCTGGACTACGAATAATGACTTATATAGGCTTACCTCCGTCAGTAGTCCAAAATTGTGTCTTTTTCAACTAATGTTGTTCAAAGCTTACATGTTTCGTTGCACTGCAACATCGTCGGAGCTTTATGTCAAAAATATCAAATAATTTACACATAGAACAAAACACGGAACACGAAACATTTAAACACGTAACAACACGATAGCGCTATCATGACACGGCACGGCAGCGGTTGTAGGTAGAAGTCTCCCTACAAGGTAGACTTGTAGCCTTGTAGACTTGTAGGTAGAAGTCTACCTACAACCGCTGCCGTGCCGTGTCATGATAGCGCTATCGTGTTATTACGTGTTTAAATGTTTCGTGTTCCGTGTTTTGTTCGATGTGTAAATTATTTGATGTTTTTGACATAAAGCTCCGACGATGTTGCAGTGCAACGAAACATGTAAGCTTTGAACAACATTAGTTGAAAAAGACACAATTTTGGACTACTGACGGAGGTAAGCCTATAAGTCAAATAAAACAGATGCGATTTTAAAACAAATTATACCACATGTTATCCTTATGGGAGAAAATCACACTTTAAAGGAAGCCCCTGCCCAAACTAATCGAAACTTTAAAAAATCAATTGTGTTATAAAAAGAAATTTTAGAAGTAAAACAATCCGCCGTCATCACTTACCCATTTAAAACCGATTTATAATAATATGATTAATAAAACCATTTTAGCAAATTTCCCATATAGGGAATAAGCTATTACCGCAGGTCTCATGGTAAGACCCGGGACTGATTTACTTTTTCGTTTTAAAGTCCCCAGAGGCCAAATCATCCTCCGTTCAAATTCTTGTGCTAAATACTTGATGGGCAACATGATCAAGCACCTGATGGATGGCTTGTCTGTAAGCTGACCGTCAACAATTTCACTGATGTAATCTCGCAGGGACTGTCGGAGGATCCTGCCCCTGTTAACCCCTTTCGGAGTTATAAGCTATTTCCACACTCATGCCCTATTGTTTGCACCAAACACATGCCTCTTAAGCATGCCTTGACGCAGATGGACGCAAGTGACGCATGCGTCAAGGCATGCCCAAAATGAGTCAGAAGAAGCTCCATTCCATAACGCACAGCGTAGCGCTGGACGATCCACTAGCCTTGGATTTATGTGCGTTTTAACTTGCAACTGCTTTACATTTTTGTCAAGTCGTCCGTGTTGTAGTTATTTGAAGCATATTGAATGAATAACTAAGAAACCTCAGAATTCATAGAAGATTATCGCTCTCACATATGTTTTTGGGACATACGGAGTAATAAAATAAAAAAAGATTTAAATTAACTAAAATAAAATAAGAAAATGTTGAGTTTTAGAGTACTTTTTTATCCACATTGTCCGCCATGATTTCTTACGTTTTGGAACTTTTGTTAAGGTTAAAATATGCCAAACCATCCCTCATATCAGAATAGTGTCGTTTTCATCTAATTAGGAAAAGGTATCTGAGAAGGTAGGAATGTGACGTATGAGTGTGGACACTCAAGGCACATGCAATAGCGCTTGCGTTGATTGTGTTGAATTGAAAGCTGTAAGGCAGATTGAAATTGAAAGCGCACGAGTGTGGACGTAGCTATTTTGTCAAGTATCATGCAGTTAGAACTGAGTAAAAAAGGGAGAGTGCAATGTTTTAGTAAAATACTGATTAAAAATGTAATTTATGAAATAAATGCCTATCATTGTATTTGAATTGATCTACATAAAATTTCCTTTTATATGACACTAATTTTAAATATAAAATATTTTATAGCAATTTCCAATGCATATATGCATTTTTTATAGAAACATATTTTTTGAAACCAAACCTTGATTTTTTCAATCTATTTCTTGGTCAAATTCATAAATAGTATTCAATTCCTTAATTACAAAATTTATTTGGTTTATATATAGATAAAATCCTTCATTTTATAGCTTTTTTTTGTTGAGGCCTAATACAATTTTGGTGCAATAATTGTAATAGTACTGTGTACTAAGTTATGGTGTTGTGAGTATTGAAATAAAAGGGAAATTGTATTCTAAGCATGAAATATAATTTTTCCAATTAACTATAAAAAAGGAAAGAATTAGGTTATTCAATAATAATGTAACATTTTTCTTTTCTTTTATTCCACTATGCGTGAGGCAGGCGCTGCTCGTCTTTAGTCTTTCGTATCCTGCTGACGCACTAGGACGGGCGCCCGTCTGTAGGCGGAAATGGGTTAAGGCTGGCACCAACACATTGGTAGCGTCTAGAATGGGACTAATTGTCTCGGCTTGTGACCAGAACATGCGTTGTAGGAGACGCTTCAGACAAGCAGCCCAAGTACTGGTGGACTCAAGAGATCTCGGGACTCCGGAAAGCCAGACAAGCCGCAATGATATCTAGAAGAATCCCGGATTTTGAGGCTAAGTCCCATCCTACAGGGCCACGAGGAAAGCTCTCTGCCATAAACTCCTTGTCAAACTCTTGGCAGCAGAGAGGAGGGCGATCCTCTAGAGACAAGGCTATATCAGTAAGGAAACTGAAATAATAGAAGAGTGCTTCTGCACTTACCCGATGTGGCAATTAAGAGAACTAGGAACAAGAAACTACAGGATAATTGTCTGGCAGACTCATCAGGCATGTCCAACTGTACATATCTTTTGTAAAAATCTGTCCATTATTAATGGAGGAGTAGTGTTTTGTAGAAATCGCCTTTACACATAAGGATATAATGTTTAACAGTAACAATAAATATATATGTATGGATATATAAATAACGATAACAACAAACAAATATATACCAACAATAACAAAATAAATCTATATATATAAAATCCAATGTATGTTTGTTTGTATGTATGTATGTTTGTTTGTTTGTTTGTTTGTCCTTTATGGATTCCGAAACCGCTCAACAGATTGTAATGAAACTTTCAGGCATTATTAAGCATTATTCAAGGATGGTTTGTGCAAAGTTTGGTGTAGATCCGTCAAAAGGGCTCCGCCCCAGTGGCTCTGGAGTTTCCCATGTTAACCTTATGAGTACACATATTTAAATGGAATTAAAGAATCTTAACAGCTGGTTCAACTAAGCAATTTGATTCTGTGATGTTCAATAGCATTACAAAGTTAATAAGTTTACCAAAAGGGTGTAGCACGATTATTTTTTTTTTTTATTTATGACAACAGCTAATTTGCAACGAAAAGGTGAGTGAGCGTAGCGAACGAACTTCAACCTAAAGGGGAGTGAGCGTAGCGAACAAACTTCAACCAGGATCTTGAAAATGAAAAAGCATTTGACGTAAAACCACATTATGACAGGACGACGTCTGTCGGGCCAGGTAGTAACAGATAAATTAAGCCAAACTGAACATTAAATATATATTATTAAAATTTTTGTTTTTATGATTGAAGTAAATACATATAGTTTAATAAAATAGAACTGAACTTATTCATGAGTCAAAAACTAGAAACAAAAACAATAACAAAAACAAGTTAAAAGTCAGCTGCAATTTAAACAATGTTAAAACATATCACTTCTTCCCACCAAGTTTAGGCTTCTTCAATTAACCTCCTCTGTGGCCTGAAGGTCCTTGTTGATCTTCGCAGCTGAGGAGGTACATTCGGGTGTGGTAAAGCTTCTGCAGGGGATGTTCTAGGTCGTAGCTGAGGAGTGAAATTCGGATGTTGTGAAGCTACTGTAGGGAATGTTGTAGGGCTAGGGAATACAGCTGGTGATCCATGGGTTTCTGAATTCCGAATATGTACTTCTGCATTTCGTACTTGGAAATCTGAAGAAGACAGTAGCTGTGGTATTTGTTTAATGCAGGGGTCGTCTTCCTCTTCGGATTCATTGTCTTGGTAAAATTTCCGCATTTGACTTGTATGTCTTTTAGTGTGTCCATTAGAATCAATCAACCATGTGTTCCTACCTAACTGTCTAAGTATGGTTCCTATTTTCCATTTTACTTTCCCTTCAACAAAAGTACGAATGTACACTTTACTCCCAATAGAAAAGCCTCTGGTTTTCTTATATCGCAGCACTTCAGAAGGTTCATCTCTTGAGTTTATCTCTTGTGAAGGTTTGATAAAATCTAATTTAGTTCGCAGATTACGACCCAAGAACAAAAATGCAGGTGTTTGTCCAGTTGCAGTGTGAGGTGTAGCTCGATAGCGAAATAAATATGTCCTCAAGTTGTCTGTGAACAAGCTAGGCTCTTTATTGTACTGTAATTTGTTCATAGCTCTTTTAAAGGTATCTACATTTTTCTCCACTTGTCCATTTGAACTTGGGTGAGTTACTGGAGTCGTAATATGTTTGATATTATTACGCAAGCAGAAATCTTTAAAACCTTGCGAAGTAAATGAAGTTCCGTTGTCTGAGACGATTGTTCTAGGTATTCCATATTTACACAAC